ATTTTCGCGCGCAAAAAAGTCGGATTTGACTGTTATTAGATCAGATTGAATGTTCAAACTGAGCAAAATGCAATATTAGGGACTCTTGAGGGTCGCTGATTTCAGAAATCATAGATGCTTCCAAAAAATTCACGTTTTTAAAATTACAGCTCCGTACAGGACCACTGAGCGGCCGGTCGGCGCTCAGTGGGCCTCTAAAATAGCGCTACGGAGGCTGTGATTTTAAAAACGTGAATTTTTTGGAAGCATCTATGATTTCTGAACTCAGCGACCCTCAAGAGTCCCTAATATTGCATTTTTCTCTGTTTGAACATTCAATCTGATTTAATAACAGTGAAATCCTACTTTTTTGCGCGCGAAAATCAGTCGGCGCGCGTTGAGCGGAAACTTCAACCGATCATAACTCCGGAACCGTTTAGTTCCCCAGCTCAATGGACCACTCGTTGGATGCGGAAAAAGACGAATAATTTAAAAAACTGGTTTTGGCTCAAATAAAAAACTGAGATCTTTGTAAAATTTTCGTTGAAAAGAAATTTTTCAGACCCAAAAACTGGAAAAAAGCACATATGTTGACTTAAAAATGTGATATCGGGATTTTGACCTTTAGAATCTTAAAGTATGCAATTTTAGACGATTTTTCGTCCAAACCGGACCTCGATATCTTTCTTTGTTCGAGAGATATCGAGGTTCACAGGTTTTGACTTCCGCCCCCCCCTAGCACCCCCCCAAAATTTTTTGGGGGTCTAAAAATTTGGGAGAAGAAGCGCTCAAGTATGAGTAATCAATAGACAAAGTCTGAAGAAATTCTAGAGGGGGGCGAAAAAAGCCGTTTTTGCATCAAGCTCTTTGTGTTTTATGGAAAGAAATTTGGCAACGCCTGATGGTTCATACGGCGCTTTCCCTTAGCACGGCAGTATGGATGTGTATTGTGTAACCTCTAATAGAGCAGGTTTGCTAGTCCATGTATGGCTTCCGCCTGCTCAACTTTTGGAGCTTTCTAAAGCTTAAATGTTGATTTTGAAGAAAATCATTCGCACCATAGTGTTCATTATAAAATTGTACACGGATACTGATAAATAAATAAAAAAAAATTCCCGCTACTTGGAAAAACTTCACTTAAAAAATTGTATATTTTAATTTCGCCCAATATGATAAAGACAAAACTTAAAATTATTGGATCACACGCCCAAAAAATTAACTAAGAAATACACAATGCGCAATATCTCTGATGAACTGTCTAGTTGAGTTGGTCACTGCGATTAAGCAGTATATTTTTTCAAATAAATTTTCATTGATAGGAAGGAAAACAAATTGAGCTCAGCTAAGACTTAGAGTCATATTATAAATATACAAACTTATATTTCATTGCAGAAGCAAAATAATTCATTATCTAAAGTCATTTTTAGGGTGAATTTTTGACATTTATCAACTTACGAAGACTTTTGCCAAACGATTTGAGGCCATTCAAGATTTGTTTACTTCAGATGTAAAAAAGGTAAACGCGTAAGGAGGCCCAAGGCTACACTGTTCTTGATATTCTGTTTGATTAAAATATGCGCGAAACGCGTAATAAGTCCTGTAACACAAGGATAAATACGTTGAATTGCATAAAATTAATAACGATTTCCCTGCGCCTTGCAAAGGGCGCCACATTACGCGTTTAGCATCACACATTCCATGCAGTTAATTTTTTAATAATCTTAAATAATAATGACAAGGAAATGAAAAAATGAATAACACAGACGTCCATGAAAAATTTTGCATTGTTAGACGTCCTAAATCAAAAGTTTGATTTGATCAAAAGTTGAATCACCTTTTAATAAAAATAGCGCTTTCCTTCCTATATATATAAACGGTAAAGTCCATGAACGAATGCGCATGAGCGTAGTCAATTTTTATGACACGATGAACATTCTTAGGTAAGTGCAGTTTCTCCCGAAAAGTTGCGTCATTTTGAGCATCTTTGGTCACAACGCTGTTGCACCAAGTTAGAGTTCAACCACAAAATAAGTTGCTTGTTGAGTTAGGCAGAAGATCCGCCATTTTGATTTTTGCATTCACTTTGAATGCATGTTCGTGTTAGCATAAATACGTCCAATTCAAGTTATAAACTGATCCAACATTACACGTTGCATGATCGGGTTTGAGATTTTGGGCTTCCGAGCTCAGTTAAAGGAAACTACGTGGGATTCCTTTTCCGAATATTAAAATGAGATACGTGAAATTGTGAATTTTTTTCGTGGACCGATTTAAAATTAAACGAAATGAGAGAATGCAAAGAAGATCGACTAGAGTCTTTGATTGCGGTAAGTCCCTCATGAAATATCTTTTCTACGATTTCATGCATGTCATAATTTTATAGGCACTTGACGATGAACGTTCAAGAGTGAAGTGATACATGAAACGCGCCGTTAAAACTTTATTTTTGTCAGTCGTCGAGCCAAAATGGGTGGATCGTAAGGTTTTGTATTTTTCCTTAATGCAATCATTATTTTTGGGGCCAAATCGGGACTCACCGGACAGGTAATACTCTCATTTATTTGCGAAGTTTAAGCAGCATACACTTTGTTCTAAATCGCATGGGCATCTAAATGAGTTTTGATATAACAGTTAAATTAAGTAAAATCTTATAAAAGACTTACAGTTTGACTTGTATCGCACAAATATACGAGCCAAAGAGCTGCGCTCAGATTACTAACACTATATGTATAATAATATTCTCATATTTCCTTTTATCGTGCCGAGCTTACAGTTAAATTAATGATGGCCACCTTCTTTCCAATATAGAAGCATACTTCAGTAAAATGGTTCGGGCAGAATATCCATGTCCAATACACAGAAGTTGACAGCTATGGGGTCACCTAAGTCATACTTTGTAGCAAACCTCAAGGCTGAAAAATTCCCTCGATTAAATACGTCTCTGAAAATTAAAAGGGCTGAAGGTTACTAGGAAATCCAAATGAAAAGTTCCATCCTCGTTTTGGAGGCACTCCCTAATTTTGCCTTTTATCTATTCTTATTTTATTTCATTTTTTTCTTTTACTAAAAACATATCAACGTCTTTTTTTTAAATATAACTTCATAGAATGATTTGTCTTTGAAAAATCCAAAAATGAAACCCAGCACTCAAAAAATCACGGTGAGATGAGGAGAAAATTTGCCCCTACCTCTCTCAAACAAATTCCCTCTAATTGTTTAAGAGTGTGAAGAACTCGATGAGATTGAATACCAATTTTAAAATCAAGTCATCAAGTGCACATCGCACACATCAAGTGCAATTTCAGTGTGTGTCTTTAAAGCTCGGAACAAATATTAAGTTTCCTCCTTTTCAAAAACATTGCGTGCATTCTATTACGTATTTTTATCAATTTTTCTTTGTGTACCTTAGGGACTTACTTTCTCGTGTAGATTAATTCATCAGAAAATCCGATTTTCTCTCTGCTGGGCTGCTTGAATAGAAGGAGAACTAATCTATGTTTCCCTGTAAAAGAAACGATATAAATTAGACTCGGTTCTTTTGTCTTGAATGTAATGTGCTTACAAAACTGACAAAATACAAAGTATATTATTACGTATTTCAAGGTTTCCAGCGATAACGGTTCCATTGAAAATATTGCTTAGTAGTGTTTTATTGATGCCTTAGCTGCTAGTGAATTTGTTTTTCGCTTAACGATCATGATGGCCCTGAGCATCATTTTGACACATGTCAAACTCTGCTCAATTTGCAATATTTTACTAGTTTTAATGCGACACTTTTGAACAAAGCTTATCCATAAGAAATGGGTGTTTTTCTCGCAGATATTTAGTCAAATATCAAAATCTGAATGGTCAAAAAAAAAGGTGAAAGTACGATAAAATTGTATTACAAAAACAAGTTGGATTTTGCAATCGCTAGCGATAACAATATTCGTCATGGGAACGTTAGCT